CATTTTGTACCAATCTTATAATCTGAATTGAGGAGTGATATAGGCCGCCAATTTTGGATCTTGCTATTATCCCTTCCTTTTTTCTCCAGCAATATTATTACAGCTTGTGGTTGAGATGTGGATAGCCTGCCTTTCTCAAAGGACGTATTTAGAGCCCTCACCATAAATTTTTTAACCAATGGCCAAATTTTTTTATAAAAATCTGCTGGCAGACCGTCATTACCTGGGGTTTTATTTGGTACAAAAGTTGTAATCACCTCCCAGGCTTCCTCGACAGAGATGAGGCCTTCACAAATGTTTGCCTGATCTTCAGAGCGTTTTGGAATGTCTGGATTATCAAAAAAGTAAGCATTTACCTTCCCTGCCCTTTCATTTTGGTCAAGTTTTGAGGCATACAAATTTTCATAATACATTTTAATTTCATTATTAATTTCCCTCTGGGACCTCACTTCTAACCCATCTGCTCTAGTAAGTTTGTTTATTTGAGATCTCCTAGCGTTCATTTTTCTAATTGTGAAAAAATACTATTTTTCTCACCTAACTCATGCCAGTTGGCCCTAGCTCTAACAATTTGCCCCTCTGCTATTTGGTCGTATTCCTGTTGTAATGAGTGTTTTATTTGACTAAATTCATGTAATACTTCAGCAGTAGGGTTTAGGCAAATTTGATCATCTAGTTTACTGTTTGTTTTTTCTTTTTTTCTTTACTAAAAGTTATTGAGGTTTTCTTAATACAATATTTAAGCCAGTCCCATACCATACGCGGATCCTCAATATCCTTGCCTTCTTTTAGCCAACTAGGGAACTGGGTTTCAATAAGCTCAATATAATCAGTGTCTCTCAATAAGCTAGTATTCAATTTCCAATATGAAGGACCACGTACAGTTTCGTCATATTTCAAATGTTTACTATATTAATATGTTAAGATTTTATCATGTCTTCATATTTCTAGGTCTTATTTTGAAGACAAGTGGAGGGATTATCTCAAACTGCGTAAGATTGATGAAGGTGAATCTGAACCAGAATTTCCTGACATATTTGACGTTGAAGAAAGAGACTTGTTTTATATATATATGGCTAGTGGCCATGATGCACCAATGATAGCGTAAGAAATATATTATGATGATTTGTGGGGGGGGGGGGGG